TTACTGACAGTTGTCAGCTGCCATGTGGGTGCTGGGATTCAAACCCAGGTCTTCTGCAAGAACAACCAGTGTTCTTAACTGCTGAGCCATCTCTCCAGGGCCTTAGCATTTTTGAGGCCTTGTGCTCCATCTGGCACCGAGACCAAAAATTCCTCTTACAAGTTCTCCTTCCTGCTTTCGCCACGTTTGCTGTGTCGATGGTGTCGTATTTGCCGTTCTTTCTCTAGTTTGTACATTTACAACAAATCTCTACACGTACCGTACTTAAGCCTTTTAAAACCCGGTTTGACGGACTCTCATCAAGGGCCGCCAGGGGTTGGGTACGCCCATAGGTCAGAGCTGTGTGAGCTGGAGGGCCCTGATTTGTATTTATTCTGTTTCTAGGAAACATAATCGTTTATGTGGTTCAGCTTAAGTCTTCAATCTCGGTATTTCGATTTTTTTCTTTTTATTTGTTTTCCCTTCATTATAGTATTTTTCTGGATTTGGGAAAATTGGGGATTTTATTAGCATTGTATTTGATCAACAAACTCTTCCCTGTCTTGCACACGCGAACACCCTGAGCTACAGTCCCAGATGCACATTACATATCATTATTTTATAGTTCAGGGGATAACATGGTGTGTTCTTGCTACAATCTGTGTGTGTTAGTGTTACGCACCTCTGGGACAGAACTTGACCCTCTTTCTTTCTCTGAGCCAGTGAATTGCAGTTCTCATCGAGGGCCGCCAGGGGTTGGGTACGCCCATAGGTCAGAGCTGTGTGAGCTGGAGTCTTGTCTGTCCTGCTGTCCTGTGGGTCCCACCTGCTTTGGGGCACTCTTCAGAGATGGTTTTTGTATTTCATTCTACTTCTCATTTTGTTCTTGGTGGAGTAATTTGCCCAATATACTCTATCCTACCAACGGCTAGCAGTGGAATTCGGAGTTATTTGTAGTAATACAAATTTATTACTTAATCTGAAAACTTAATTAAATAGATCATTAATTACTAACTTTATAAACCACGTTGCTGAAACTTTGGGGAACCTTTTTTTTCCTTCTTGTCCTGCATGGATTTGTCCATACTGCACACACATTGCTGTTAGTTTGTTTTGACAACCAAGTGTTGTGCCATGGTGTGAACATAGACCACTTTATCCCCTTTCGTGCTGATGAACATTGGGTTGTTTCCATATTTTTGTTCTTGTAAAGATTCCTTCTGTGAACATTTGCATGCTGTTCTTGGTTACATGTTTTAAAGGGAAAACTACTGTATTAAAAATGAACATGACTGCCTAATTTTAGGTGATAGTGGCACACTATTTCTCAGCGTGGTTAGACAATTTACAGCCCCAGCACCATTCTCCAAAAGTCTGAGGACACCCTTTACAGCGCTTGGTAGTGTCAGAAATTTGTTTTGGGGGCTGGAAAGATCACTGGTTAGGATCACTGACTGCTCTTGCAGAGGACCTGGGTTCAATTCCCAGCACCCACATGGCAGCTGACAGCAACCATCCATAGCTCCAGTTACAGGGGAGCTGATGCCCTCTTCGGGCCTCTAAGAGCATTGCATGTACATAGTGCACTTACATACATGCAGACAAAACATTCATATTCATGAAATAAAATCAAATAAATAAACCACGCATGGTGGCACACACCTTTAATCTTAGCGCCCCAGAGGCAGAAGCAGGTGGATCTCAGAGAGATTGAGGCCAGCCTGGTCTACATAGTTCTAGGTCAGCTGGGGCTACTGGGAGACCCTGTCTCAAAAAGACCAAAAAATAAATATTAAAATTTGTTTTACTAAGTAACTGAATCTAAATATCACACTTTTAAATTTCATGGCTATTAATGACTTTATACACCTCTTGATATTTCTATTGGTTGAAAATACTTCCCTCTGAGTGTCTACCCTTGACCTTACCCCTGATTGTAGAGTTCCATGCTTGGGAGAGATTCCCTGAGCTCTAGACACCTGTATTAACTCCTTGTAATTTATTAGAGACCTTTGGCTCTGAGTCTGCCTCTGCATCCCCTGGCCCAAAGAACCCCTCATGTTGCTCACAGAATACAGCTGTCCACAGGGGTGAGTGGTTGGTTTTCTGATTCAGTGAGTGGTGAGCTTGTTTTCCTGATGTTGGCTTTGCTTTCTTGTCGTGGTATTCCCACATTTATAGCTGAGTCTAATGTATGTCTCTTTGTCTTATGTGTGTGTGTGTGTGTGTGTGTGTGTGTGTGAGAGAGAGAGAGAGAGAGAGAGAGAGAGAGACAGACAGACAGACAGACAGACAGACAGACAGAGACAGAGTTTAGAGGCAATTGGACATTAAATGGATGGTCAGTTGTGTCCATATACACGTGTTTTCACTTTTAAAATGGGAAGAAATGCATCCAACTTAATTGTGGGGCTCAGGGATTGCACATACCCTTTGCCTTATGCCTTTAATATTTTGAGCTTTTCAGCTTGAAGTGGCATTATTAAACTTATGCCCCACCTCTGAAACTCTGCCTTACCTGAGGTTCGTAACCCACCGAGGCCGTCGAACCCTTGCTCTACACACACCTTGAGTATTTTTTTTTTGCTATATTATCATCACATAAAATGGTAGTAAAATTTTGTACCTTCTGAGGTGAGTAAAATTTTAGAGAATCTGATGAAACTATAAAATCAGTATGTGATGCCAGTATTTTCACACCAAATAAATACCTGCTCTTACTGTAAGCTAAAAAGAAAACCAAAGTCATCTATCAGAAGAATTGTGTGGCCTTTTACCAGAATGAGTGCATAGCCGAGGGCCGATCCCCGAAGCTGACCCAGAGCTGTATGTGTATTTGTGAGAACACAGCAGTGAGTGAGGTGCTACATGGTGAGTGGCTGTGCGGGAGCAGCGGGCAAAGGTTTCTGTTGAGCAGCCAGCCCTCTCTCTCCCAGAGATGGTGCTCTGCAGTATCTGCCAAGGAGCAAGAGCCCGTCCAGGCCTGCTGTCCCGGCCCAGGGCACTGGTACCCCAAATGCACTGACAGATGCTGGCAGTCACAGGGAATTGGCTTTGCTGTTGTCTTTGCAGGTATAATTTCAGTGTGTCTTTTAACGAGTAATGACATGAGTTTATGGTGATGCATTTCAGAATAAGTTTATCTTTGAGGTAGGATCAGACAAAAACAGATTCAGCATTATAGCAGAAGCAACACAGACCTCAGTTTAAAACTGCTGCTATCTGGATGTGGTGGTGCATGCCTCAATCCCAGCATCTAGAGGCAGAGGCAGGTGGATTTCTGTGAAGTCAAGGCTAGCCACGGCCACATAGTGAGTTCCAGGCCAGCCAAGGTTACACATTGAGACCCTGTCACAACACACACACACACACACACACACACACACACACACACACGCGCGCGCGCGCACAACTTACTTTATTATCCACAAGAATGTCAAACCTTCATTTATAAAGTGGAGAAATGGTCTTATAGTTGTCATGGTTAAGAATTATGGCTAATGGGCTGGGCGTGTGGCTTGGTGCGGTGTGCTTGCCTGGCACACACAGCCCTAGTTTTGATTCCCTAGCCTGGTGAAACAAAGACAAAAATTAGGAGTCTTGTTTACGTACATAGTTAGGGACTTCTGCGGCCTCAGTGCATGCTACCTCTGGTTGCTTTGTGAAACACCAGTGTGTGTGTGTGTGTGTGTGTGTGTGTGTGTGTGTGTCTGTCTGTCTGTCTGTCTCTCTGTCTATGTGTGTCTCTGTGTCTCTGTGTGTGTATGTATGTGTGTGTCTCTGTGTGTGTGTGTGTGTGTGTCTGTCTGTCTGTCTGTCTGTCTGTGTGTCTCTCTGTCTATGTGTGTCTCTGTGTGTGTATGTATGTGTGTGTCTCTGTGTATATTATATGTGTGTGTGTCTGTCTCTATGTCTGTGTGTGTGTGTGTGGCACTGTTGGTAGTAATGGTAGTAGCAGATGGCCTTTTCATCCACAGATTCAACCAACTGCAGATCAAAACTCTTTGGAAAAAAAGAAATCCCATTTCTGGGGCTGGAATAATGGCTCAGTGGTTACGAGCATTTCCTGCTCTCCTAGAGGACCCAAGTTTGATCCCCAACACCCACATGGCAGCTCAGAGCCACCTGTGACTCCAGTTCCAGAGGATCTGATGCCATCTTCTGGTCTCTGCAGGCACCTGCATCACATTGTGCATGCAAATTCACATTGCCTCACACATACATACACATAAATAAAAATAATAAATAAATATTTTATAAAATCATGTTTCTCCCTAATCTATCAAGAGCCCTGTGCCCTTCACAGAGACCTGGAGCTCTGAAGAGTGCACCATTCTGCCAGCCTTTATTTTAGATACTGAAGTACTGGGGTCTGAACCCAGGGCCTTGCAGCTGATGCCCTGCTGCCTATGGATAGCCCAGCTTCCCCCGGGATAGCCCAGCTCCCCCAGGGATGGCCCAGCTCCCCCCAGGGATGGCCTAGCTCCCCCCAGGGATGGCCCAGCTCCCCCAGGGATAGCCCAGCTCTCCCCAGGGATGGCCCAGCTCCCCCAGGGATGGCCCAGCTCCCCCAGTTCTCTACTGGGCTCTGAAAAACCTGTAGTGCAATATCTCAATCTTGTGCCTTTTTTTTTTTTTTTTTTTTTTTTTTTTTTTTGGTCTTTTTGAGACAGAGTCTCCCTGTAGCCCCAGCTGTCCTGGAACTCACTGTGTAGACCAGGCTGGCCTTGAACTCACAAAGATCCACCTGCCTCTGCCTCCCGAGTGCTGGGACTACAGGCGTGCACCACCACGCCCGGCTTCTGTCTTGCGCATTTTATTAACTGATAGACACGGGTGCACGTGTGATGTTACCCTGCGGTGGATAATTGAGTGATGCAATAAATTGAGTTCCTGCTACTTGTGACGTTCTTTCTCTGTTTGACTAAGTGGAGTTACAATCTGACTTTGAGTTAGTGAACCCTCTAGCAAGCTGTGTCACATGAAGCACTGATGACGTCGTGGTCTCTCTTCTTCTCCAGATTGAGGCTGGAGTCAGCCCCTGACTAGCGTGAAAATGATGAGTGATGCGAGTGACATGCTGGCCGCGGCGCTGGAGCAGATGGACGGCATCATAGCAGGTAGTCCCTGTTCTCGTGACCGCCATTTGCTCTCTGGTCCCTTTCTGTTGTCTGTCGGCTCTCTCCAGGGCCTTCCCCGTTGTCCTGACCGTCACTTGCCCTCTGGTCCCTTTCTATTATCCTTTGGCCTTTAGGACCCCGGGTTTTCTTCTTTGTTCCTCTTTTCTGGTTTTTACGCAGTTATTCTGAAACTTTGTTACAAAACATCAAAAATTCTAGTTCTAACCTGAGGTCCTAGTCAAGGCTACAGGATTTGCATCTTGGGCAGCTCCAGGATAGATGGTCTTTAATTGTAAGTAAACAGCAGTGTCCACCTGGGGTCTGTGTGTGTCTTTCCCTATGTTCAGCATTCACATCACCAGTGGCTTTTACACCTCCTTTCCACCTCTTCACTGAGCCCTGGTTCCTGCCCCTGTCCACCAGGTCTCTCCTGTGCAATGCCCAGTAGGAACATCAGTGTCAGACACTGAGCTGACAGTCACAACCACAACCAAACACTGATGAAGTGCAGTCTTTCCCTTGGAGGTCCCTCCAGTGGCCTTTATGTCAGCCTGTTTCCTGTTCTTTTATCCACAGCGTCCTAAGCCAGAGCAAGGCCTTCCTGGTCCAGCTCAGCCATTTAAATCCTATCAGCCCTCCCTCCTCTGATTTTACCCTTTTCTTTACTCTTGTTTAGAAACCGAACTGTGCTGCTAGTGTCTTGCTTCCAGGTAACAACCTCCCCCACGTCACTGCGACGCTAACATTCCTGCTATAGCCCCTCCTTCCCTGGACCCCCAGCACCTCCTCCCTAATAAGCACAGACCTTGCCATAGAGAGCACTTGTGGGGAGCCTTCAGAGCTCTTTGTGGTGGAAGCAGAGAGGCACGTACCTGTGGGTCCCGCCTTCTCACTGCAGGGTGACTGGGCTGAAGCTAACCCCTCTGTGCTGTGTCGTGGTGGCCACACAAGGCCTCATGTCACATTACAGTGTTTTGTCTCAAGGAAAGACCTTGTATGTATTGCATATTCCCACAGCAACAAGAGGCTTGAGTACGGGCTTCTCAGTGCAGTTGGCATCCATCCAGTGGTCAGGCACAGCTGTGGTTGGGCCTCACTGTGCCCGGCTTCTGGTCACTCTGACCCTGGCTCCTCACTTTTTATCAGTTTTACCCTGGTGGCTTTGAGACACAGAAGGCAATTTTCTGTTGAGAGGGTGTTTCCCCCAGGGAAGCAGCATGCCATCGCTCAGTGCACTTCCATGTCCTGGAGACTCGACTGGGGTCTGAGCCCCCTGGAGATGTCTCGTGTCTGGTAGTATCATTTTCAAAGGGTCATTTGTAGGCCAAACCTCACTGGAAGGGAATAAACTTGAGGCTGAACAGTTAATAACCGCATCTAACAAAGGAGCGGTTACATTTTATCTAGAAAACGATATTCTTGCTTTCAGAATGGTGTGTGCTTTCAAATAGTGGAAGGATTATATACATACAAAAGAGGTCAGACTTTTCTTTCATAGTTTCAGAAAACATAACTAGACCCAACCCAGGTTCTGACGAGACGTTTAGCTTCACGCTCTTAGACAAGTTTGAGAGAAATTAGACTTTTGGAGGAGTCTGAGGGATATGCATCTTACGTAGTCTACTGGATTAGGGCATTTGTTTCTTAACCCTAGAAGGGCTTCAGGACCAAAATTAGAGTTATTAAAACAAGAGGCTGGCAAGATGGCTTAGTGGGTAAAGGCGGCTGCCACCAAGCCTGATGACTTGAATTCCATCCCCAGGACCCATGTGGTCAAAGGGGAAAACAAACTGCAAGTTGTCCCCTGACCTCCACACATGCACTGTGGCATATATGCAGCCCTCCGTCCACCAGAGCAATAAAAATGTAAAAGGGGTGGGCCGGAGAGATGGCTCAGCCATTGAGAGCACTGACTGCTCTTGCAGAGGACCCGGGTTCAATTCCCAGCAGCCACATGGCAGCTAACAACTTTGCTTAACTCTGGTTCCAGGGGATCTCTTCTGACCTCCATGGCCACTGCATGAGCGTATACTTGCATGCCTGCAGGCAATATATACATTAAGTGTAAAAAAAAAAAAAATGTTTTTGCTGGGCATGGTGGTGTGTACTTTTAATCCCAACCCTCGGGAGGCAGAGGCAGGTGATCTCTGAGATCGAAGCCACCGGGTTCACATTGTGACTTCCAGGTGGGCTGTGACCAGGGAGACCCTGTCAGAAAAAACAACCAACAAAAAAGACCAAAAAAAAGGTTTTAAATAATAAAGAAAAATAAGGGTTGCCCAGGTCCCATATCAAACTAAGAAGTGCAGACAGGAATGGCCTAGACTGACCAGTTAGCAGTGGTGACTCTCCAGCTGAGGGAGGGGAGGGGCTGTAAACTCTCAGGGACCTCTTACTAAGTGTGCGGCCCTGTCTGTGCTCTCAGTTTTGTGGTGGGACTTAGTGGGGTGGAAGGGGCCATGGGTATGTGTGCTTTAATAGTGTCAGATACTCTTAGTTCTCAGAAATGCTGGGGTAGGACACTGCAGCCTTCTGGATTGGGTGTGTGCATGCACGGGTGTGTCTGTGCATATCTGTGCCTGTGTGCACGTGTGTGTGAATGCACATGTATGTGCCTGTGTGCACGTGTGTCTGTTGCACGTCTGTGCCTCTGTGCACATGTGTGTGCATGTATGCAAGCTTCAAATTGACATGGGCCTTCTTCTTCCTTCACCTTCCTCTGCTGTGGGGTCGCTTGCTGAACCTGAGCTCGAGTCTGGCTAGTGTAGTGTGCTCTGGGAATCCCATGTTCTGGAGCTGTAGGTGTTGTAGGCTGTACCACACCTGCACACCTTCTTACGTGGGTTCTGGGCATCCAAACACTGGTCGTGCTCCAGTGTGACGAGCGCTTTATCCCCTGAGCCGTCTTGGTGACTCACCTGGATTTTGATGCTCTTCTGTTCCTCTGCTCCTGACCTCTCCTCGGTTTTTATGTATTTTGGGGGTTCTCCTCACCTGACCTGGGGTTAGATGTAAAGCTCTCAGCCCTGTGTCTAGCAGAGCTACACGGATTGTTGCTATAGTTCATTTAGTTCAGTGTTTGGAAGGTCAGGGGAGTGGACCAACTGGAAGAGAATTCCTGCCCCCATCGGTGAACTGATTGAGAGGTGGTCAGGAAAACACACATGAGATTCATCGTTGTATGGTCTTCAGACCTATGAGGTGGTCACTGGGTGTAGTTACTTATATTTGGGTATAAAAGTGTATGTTGTAGGGGCTGGAGAGATGACTCAGTGGGTAAGAACATGCCCTGTTCTTGTTGAAGACTCAAGTTTGGTTCCCAGCACCCAGGCCAGGAGGCTCATGTCAGCTGTAACTCCAGCGCCAGGGAATCCTCGGCCACTGGCATTCACACGTGCATACCTCTCCAAACACATATACGCATAATTTTAAATCTTTAAAAAAGAAAGTGTGTGTGTATTTCACAGACCAGAAAATAAAAATAGATCAACTAAGAGGTGTGTATGGTGTGGGTCCTAAGTAAGAGGAAACAAGATGTTAAGGAGACCTCATGCTGGGCTACGAACAGAGTAACAGAAAACATTGCCCACGTGTGTTCTCATAAGCAAATGTATACTTGCAATTCACTGAACCTCAAAGATGAAGTTCTGGAAACTGACTTTCTTACCTTTGAATTGTGCTGTGCAGTTATCACCTTATTTTGTGGGAGTTCAAGGCTCCACATGGCTCCCTCTGCACTGGTCTGCCACCTTCATAGTCGTCGCTCCCCAAGGCCCCCACCTCTCCTTCCTAAGCCTGCCACGCCCATTTCCCACACAGCTGACCTCCTGGTTAGGTATCCAACAGTTCATATTTACCACCGATGGTGTGTTTTTATTTTTCAATCACGTAACTGATTGGGAGAGATTTACATGATTGAGTTATTTTGTCTTTTTGTTGTTCCTTGGATTATTACTTGCGACCAAGCTCATCTGTCTCTTTCAGCTGTGGTGTTTTACCCAACATAAGCAATAGCTCCCTCCGATTTTTTTTTTAACCAGGTTCTAAAGCCCTGGAATATTCCAATGGGATTTTTGATTGCCAGTCTCCCACTTCTCCATTCGTGGGCAGCTTGCGCGCCCTGCACCTTGTGGAAGATCTGCGAGGACTGTTGGAGATGATGGAAACAGATGAGAAGGAAAGCCTGAGGTGCCAGATCCCGGACTCCACAGCAGACGCGCTCGTTGCATGGCTCCAGAGCCAGATGGTAGGCGGTCCTTATCTGTGCCCTGCATTCCGTGGTTTGTTCCAAAATTGAGAACATAGGCCGGCTGAGCCGAGCAAGAAAAACTTACAGGGTGGTAAATTTGCTTTTGTCTTTCCCTTTGGGACCTCACTCCCTCTCGCCTATGAGGGTCACTTTTAAGGACGCTTGTTAGAATGTATTTCATGGGCGCCGACAAGTCCTCTGACCTGTGTGTGAATGACCTCGTATGGCTTAGTGCAGATGGTGCCGTGAGGGAAGAGCCTTGCGTATGACAGCTGCTCTCTTCCTAATATTGGGGAGCAAAGGACGCAGTGATCATTCTGTACAGCAAGTACAGTCAACCCAGAAGCTCTAGAGGCTTGCAGCCACACTGGCTGAGCAGCACCGTCGAGTGGTCTGTGCCAGCATGTCAACTCCGCTTCTCCAGTCAGGGCCTGCGCGGTGGGTTTGCAAGGGTGTTCCTCCTCTCTGAACACTGAGGTTCCTTCCCGACACTGAAGAGTCAGCCTCTGGGCACGGTGGAAAGTACCACAGTTCAGTGACATGAACACAGAAAATGACAGAACGTCAACAAAAGCAGGCTCAATTGAGAAGATAAGGACGGTGACATGTCTTTAAAGGGTACTTGGTTTCCTGTAAGATGCATGGATTAAGGTCTGTTGGGCAAACTGTGGTGGCCCGGGAGCAAGACCCCCTGTTGCTGCAGCATTTTCCTGTGCCCGTCATAACTGCCCCCACCACCGTCGGTCCCGTCCTGAGCTGGGTGTTTTAGTGTCCCCCTAATAGACATAGTGTGGTCTGTCTTTTAGTGGTGGTGCACACAACCTGGTTGTTTTGCCCTTAGCAACAGATGCTGCTTGTTGGAAATACTTAGCGTTTGTCCTGGGAGTGTCTGCCCAGACCTAAGCGTCCAGGTTTCCTGGTTTCCTTGGGGGTCACATCCCACTCTGAAACCCAGAACACCTGCTCCCCGTACATTCCTCAGCCTCTTCCTACTTCCTGTCTCAGCCCTTCTTCACGCTGGCACCCAGCACACAGTGAGAAAGGAACTTACGACTGGCAGGATTCTCTGCTCACTTATATCCAGAGGTCCCAGTGGCAGCCGTAGCTAAGGCTGTGTAGATAACAAGTGTCTAAGACACTGCCGTTCACCTGTGCTCAGTTGCTAAGCTAAATATTTTGAGGGATGAGTGAAAAAGGGCGGGGCATTCCTGATTGTTTTTGCCACTTCTTTTACTAACATACTTTCATAAAGGAACAGAGAAAACCCTGTGTTCAATCCTAACGATGCCAGTAGCCCAGGATTCCACTGAAAGGGCTTCTGTCCTCACTCTGCACTGGCCACCCTGGCTTGAGAACTCTGCTCACTTGGTCAGCGTGTTTCCCTGTGGTGGACCCTGCTCATGAGTTTCACAGAAGCCCAGGAAAACTGTTTTAACATCAGCTGAGGTGTCTCAGTGTATTGCTGTGTGACTCAGGTGACTGGGACCACTTACAGGACACAATCTTAAGGTGGACCTTGCTTGCTGAGGTCTGAAAAACATCCCCTAAAGAGAGGCCAGGCAGAGAGCAGGGATGGGAGGCTGGTGGGAAGGGACAGAGTCAAGCCCTGGAAGTCAGGTACTTGGGAGAACAGCCAGCAGCCAACGAGCATGCCCCACAGTTGGACTCCAGATTATGCATGTTTGTGTTTTTGGGGACCTTAAAAAAGATGCACTTGGGATTGAACTAATTTCACTTTTTATGCATAAGAAATAAGATAGACATGTATTAGGGCTCAAGTGATGGCTCTGAGGTTAAGAGCACTGGCTGCTCTTCCAGAGGACCTGGGTTCAGTCCCCAGCACCCACATGTCAGATAACAAAAATGTCCATAACTCCAGTTCCAGGAGCTTCAACGCCCTCTCACCCTCTTCTGGCCTCTGTGGGCATTGCCTGACATGGGTGCACTTTTATATATATATATGGGCAGAACATTCATACACATAAAATAAAATTAAAAAAGTAAAAAGCTAGACATCTGTTCTGATTTTAGCAGGCTGGAAGCTGGTCGATAATGTTTTCTGTTTATGCGTTCCTTATGTCATGGGTTAGAATCCTTGATTCACAGATATTTCTGTTACAGTCTCACTCATTCTGTTGAAAATGATGTTTTTGTAACCTCTGACTGTGAGATTGCCTCCTAGCAAAACTGAAAACAGGTCAGACGCCTCTGGCGTGTTTACCACTTGGTCCCTTCGCTAGTGAGGCTCAGGCCCTGATCCTCAGATCCTTAGACTGGGAAGAATGTAAGAATATTCCAGAGCAAGTCGGCCCGAGGCAAAAACTATGTGCTTGGCTCAAACAATCCGACGTTTTCTTCTGTTTGCCTTCTTAAATCTAAAGTTTGGTCAGTTCTCCATTATTAACATTTGTGTTAACACATGATAGTATTTCACTACCAAACCAGACTCTGCTCTGCCCTAGTAATTGAGCTGATTTCATATTCAATCACTTTTTTCCAACCACAAGAGACAAACTGCTGACTCCCGAATTTCCTCATTTTTAGAAGCACATGGTTAAGCTATTGAAGCAAATTCACGCTTACAAAGTGTGTCCCCACACCTAGTCAGTACTTGTGTTTTCCCTTAGCCAGCTGCCTTTTTGTCTGGTCTTTTTGAGACAGAGTCTCCCTGCAGCCCCAGCTGGACTGGAACTCTATGTAGATCAGGCTACCCTCAGTCTCATACAGATCCGCCTGCCTCTGCCTCCTAAGTGCTCCAATCACATGCAGTAATTTAAAGAGAAGTAACCCACAGCCTGCAGGAACCAGGGGGCTCTCCCTTGCCTGGGCAAATAATAATTAGAACTGCAAATGCCGACTGCATGATGATAAGACTAGCATCAGTCTTAAAGGGCACAGACTCTCAGGTTGGCCAACACTGAGCATGAATGCAGACTTCATTCCATAACTGGAGTCATTCACAGGTGTTTGTAAACATCACAGAAGCTCCGTTGCAGTCTGAGAGCTGTGTATGATGATCTGCGACCAGCTCCCTGGCAGCTGGACCAGTGCTCTTACCCTCTATGAAAAGGGATCCTGGTGGGTGCTCGCTCGTGCGAAGCGTGTATTAGCATGGGCCCCTCATGACCCTTGTCTACACTTTACTAATGAGGAAATGGAGACACGGAGCTTTAGGGAACCTCCTCACAGACCACATTAGTTTGGGTTTGCTCCCTCCAGAGCTAGAGTTGATCTGGCCTGACCACTCACTGCCTTCCCTACTTTTACTAAAGCCTCCTTTATTGTTATTAGGACCATTTCTTCATGTACGGTAGAAAAAGAGGACTTGGCTAGGATTCCGTGTATCTTATTTTCTTGTTGCTGTTATAAAATACTTCACAGTAGCAGCTTAAGGAAGAGTTTATTTTAGCACATGAGTCGAGAAAGAATCCAGTCCAGCCTGGTGTGAAAGACAGAACAACAGGAGTGTGAGGTGACTGGTCACATTGTGTCAGCACTCAGGAAGCAGTGAGGTGACAGGAAGTGGAATTAGGCATGCTCCCAGTGACCCACTTCCTCCAGTGAAGCCCCACCTCCTAAAGGTTCCAGGGCCTTCTAAAACCACCACCACCGGAGGCCGAGTGTTTAGACACACGGACGCTGTCGGGGACATTTTAATATTCAAACCATGACTCTGTGTTCCTTCAATTCCGAAATGACATCAACTTTTATCTCACCATTTTATTTTTAGTAGCAATATTTATCATTTTAACCATTTTAAAGTGTGCAGTTCAGTAGTACTAAGTTTGTTCACACTATATTGCATTTATCACCATCCTCCACTGGAGAACTCTTTCCGTCTTGATGGAGAGCTGAGCACCGGTACCATCTAACACCATCCCTGTGGCTCCTGCCTCCGCCACTGCCCCTCCTGTCCTCTCTGACTCTGTGGCTGTGACAGTTCTGGTGTCCATCCGATTAGTAAAAGGAGAAAAGAAAGAAGTAATACCAGCCAGTGTGTAGACGTGTGTGTGCGCATATGCATGTGCTTGTACATGTGTGTGCTTTTGTGTGTGTGTGTCCTCATTTTAAGATCTTAAAACATGTCCCGACTTCTGAAATACCAAGTAGAAGGTATGAAGTTACAAGAACCACAACCTCTGCCTGTTGGGTCCTCGGTGCTGGCTCAGGTTCAGTTTTCTGGCAGGGAAGGCTGCTGTCCAGGTGTAGGACCTGCTTCCTTCCTGCCTGGGCCCCCCCCCACCTCTTCATGTCTGTCCCCCCCAACCTCTTCATGTCTGCCCCCCCAACCTCTTCATGGCTGTCCTCCCCAACCTCTTCATGTCTGTCCCCCTAACCTCTTCATGTCTGTCCCCCCCACCCTCTTCACGTCTGCCCCCCCACCCTCTTCATGTCTGCCCCCCCAACCTCTTCATGGCTGTCCTCCCCAACCTCTTCATGTCTGTCCCCCTAACCTCTTCATGTCTGTCCCCCCCACCCTCTTCACGTCTGCCCCCCCACCCTCTTCATGTCTGCCCCCCCAACCTCTTCATGGCTGTCCTCCCCAACCTCTTCATGTCTGTCCCCCTAACCTCTTCATGTCTGTCCCCCCCACCCTCTTCACGTCTGCCCCCCCACCCTCTTCATGTCTGCCCCCCCAACCTCTTCATGGCTGTCCTCCCCAACCTCTTCATGTCTGTCCCCCTAACCTCTTCATGTCTGTCCCCCCCACCCTCTTCACGTCTGCCCCCCCACCCTCTTCATGTCTGCCCCCCCAACCTCTTCATGGCTGTCCTCCCCAACCTCTTCATGTCTGTCCCCCTAACCTCTTCATGTCTGTCCCCCCCACCCTCTTCACGTCTGCCCCCCCACCCTCTTCATGTCTGCCCCCCCAACCTCTTCATGGCTGTCCTCCCCAACCTCTTCATGTCTGTCCCCCTAACCTCTTCATGTCTGTCCCCCCCACCCTCTTCACGTCTGCCCCCCCACCCTCTTCATGTCTGCCCCCCCAACCTCTT